AAAATCATGTAGCTTGCCAATCGGAGTAACATGAAAGATACGGCGCCAATAATTGAATTGCTGTTACGGTACGCTGTTTCTAAACTTAGATGGTCATTCCTTAATTAAATATAATTGATTTGTAACTTCTACTAGAGCTGACGGTAAGAATTGAAGTGTAAATAAATAATATCGTGTGCAATCTTGATTAATATAAAATTTAAAATATTTGCATTCAGACAAAGTTTTTTTGAAATATTTGCAATAACTTTATAAGAAGGATTTATTAATAACCGTAATAATTACTTTTATTATATTACTGATGATTAGGAATTCAGTTCTTGACAATTACATTCTAAATTAGAATTTTAAGGATATAATGAAAATACGCTACGCACAAAAATACATTTTAGGATTTTAAAAAAATGAGTTGTCGTTTTTTATTCAGTCTGTAGAGCAGTTATATGTTTATTATCATAATTTAATTTTTTTATAAAAATGATTATTCTAAATTTTATGTTTCTATAAAAATATACTGTGCTTTAAAAATGTAGATGATAGTATCAGCCGCTCTTTCAGCCACTTCATAAGCAACAGTTTGTTTAGAAATAAATTATGCAGTTAATGTCATAAAATTCAAATAAACATCAAACGAAAATTCCCAGTTTTAGACAATTCGATTTAAAAGAAGTTAAAGTAAAGTAGCAGACGATAAAAGGCCGAAGGTAAAAATTTACTCTTATTTTTTTAAAAAAAAGAAAAAAGAGAGAAATTTAAAAAAAAATAGTTAAAAATTTGATTAATAATCTTTAAAATATCTATGAATTTTAAAAAAATAGCTTTTCATAGAGTATTAACAAATATTTATTATGCATCATTGTGCAAACTGAGGAAAAAATTTCATATAATTAATTCTCCGTAAAATTTTATTTGCAAATTTAAGGTTAAAATTAGCTGTGGCAATTCATTGAAGATTTGTAACAAAAATCTGTAAACCACATTTGGCGTTATTATCTGCTCAAAAAAAAAAAGATGCCCAAATTCTCAAAACGCGTAAATATGTAAATTCACGTATATCTTAGGAAATTTTGAATAAAAAATTTTAATTTTTTGCAGGTATGCTTAGAAATACACCTACTTTAAGATGATGGTAAAAATTTTATAGGTTATAATTCAAAATTTTTTCGAAAAATTTATAAAAATTATTTAAAAATAGAAATTTAAAAATAAAACACAAAAAATTGGGTAAATTTTATTTGGAATGAACCTAAATTTCGAAATGTGAAAGAAAAATCAAAAAAGTTTAATAAAAAAAAGAGATATTAATAAATATTTGCCAAATTGAATTAACATTGAGGAGCTAAAAACTACCCGTACGATTTTTACAAAACTTGGTATTCTGGCATAATTTGAGTTGTAGAATTGAAATGTGGAAAAAAATTGGTATGTTATTTCAGAAAACGTCCGATTTTGTGTCAGAATACCTATGTTAGAATAGTGCTATATATAAATCTAATATATATCCTATAGCGCACTTTTGAGACATGAAAAACACAGTTTGAATTTTGTCAATCGTCCCAGTAGAACAGGAGATATAGTTCTGTCCCCCCCTTTTTTTTAGCAGTGTGCCTCTGGTAATTTATCTATGGTGAATAACTATGGCTTTCATATTTGGCACTGTTAGCCTGTTTTTGGTGTGAAGGTATAGTTTGAAATTGATGATAATACTAACACCTAAAGTCTGATTTTTGTTCAACATTAAAAAGAAAATAAGTGGCCCAAAATTTGAATTAAAAGAATTTTAATAAGAATTAAAAGCTGATGTTATAGAAACCTTGATAAGGTTTAGTTTAGAAAATTTGAACATCTAATCACTATTAATAGACCTAATATGATCATTATTAGATATAACGATTCTAATGCTGCACATTGTAAATGTTTAGAAACTAAGAAAATCAGAATTTCAGGTTTCTGACTCTGAGAAAATTGTATCAAAATTCAACTGAAAGACTTCCAAATGTTTTAAACTAATTCTGTAAAATCAAAATCTGGGAAACTGTGATAGAATATTGATGATTGCACACTATTTTACAGTGACTGTATCATTTGAAATTGTCATGCATTTTGTAATCATAAATGACATCTGAAAAGTATAAAAATTATGTAATCAAAAGAAAATCACATATATAATATCACTATTTACAGTAATTCTGTATCATCAAAGAAAATTAATAAAATTTTTTTTTTTTTAGTTAATGAAAGCTAGGGGGATGTATCACATGTGATACATCAGGAACAAGTCACTACAATCAGAATTTTCTTAAGTATTAAGCAAGATTGAAGTAATTAATTTAATCTTAGTCTTTAATCACACAATACATACAATTCATAAATTTCAACACGAAAATTAAGTTTATTGGAGTTGTAGGTACATATTATTATTATTTATATTCGTGAAATGCCTTGAAACAATTTCTACTACTAGTTGTAAAGCATAGAAAAACCTTGCAGTCTGTACATTGTACACATTTTTTAAGGCCGAGCACTTCTCATTTCCTGCACCTACTTCGATGAGTTCTATCCCCAAGCCATTTCAGGCATGTGCCTAGCTTTTCATTGTTACGAGTTGCTTGATGTGGAATGCAAGTTGTAACTCTGCGCTTTGGAAGGGGGGCTCATCATTTTCATCTTTCGGGATAGCCGAAGGAGTGGGAGATGGCTTCTTCAGTTAAGCCGTGGATGAGTGTACTTGTAATACTGGAGTGTAAACGCAAATAGTCCAGAATGTTCTTCTTCGGTTCCTCTAATTCTGTCATAGTATTTCTCCTGAAAATCAAATGAAACCTGGATTGAACTTATCCTGTATGTGATTCCTCATTGAGTTGGAGCAGAAAAGTCAAAAGTTACATCCTGATCTTCATCAACATCATTCATCTCACATCCATTATCTCTTTGATAATCATCTTCATCTGACAGTGAACTCAAATCAGAATCATCGCGATTCATCAGCTCTAAAATTTCATCTGGTGTCAAATATTTCACTGAAAAAAAATACTTATTAAATAAACAATTATCAGGAAAAAATGGGTAAAATGGAATGCAAACACCTCAACTAAAGATTTGAATTCAAAAAATACTTCTATCAATCTTCAAATCCCCCCAAAATATAACTAAAAATTAAAACAGACAGACAGACAAAGTAGACAGATGTCTTGTTAAAATTGACTTAAAAAGTGTGTTCATAAGTGATTGGGTCCCATTGTATCACAAGTGATACAAACAAATTTCACAAGTCATTATGCTTTAATATATCAGTAAAAATTTCTTTTTTTGCTGTTAACTAGTAAAACATACATATACAAAGAGAAAGCATATTTTAAAAATAGTTTAATATTTGTATATAAATAAGAAAAAAATACTTACTTCGACGACGTGCAGACATTTTGTTTTGATTCAGAGATGCTACTAGAAATCGCTATCATGGACAAGTACTGCCATCTGTTGACTAAACGAGGAAAATATATGAGGTATTTCACTTTGTATCTTATAAGATACAACCGGTCCCAAATTTGTTTTTGCAGCTCAGCCTTCACAAAAAATTATGAAACTTTTGTATCACATGTGATACAAGGGAACCGAGGAGGTTATAGGTTAAAGCAGCAGTGTAACTACTTTCATTAAAGCAGACAAAAAAATTAATTCAGTATTTATTTGGAATAAATCAGATTTTATACCTAATTTTATTAATATTTTGTGTATTTATGTATTATCCTGTCAACCACGAGCGTTGGTTATCATTGAAGCATGAAAGTGGGCTGAGATCCCCACACAGTTATGCCAGTCGGTTCTGCAGAATTCTCAAGAAACTGATGCTTCTGTATATAATAAACAATCAGTATTCGATTCACTTCGTAAAAAGGCTTTTATCAATTTCTACTGTTTTGTTAGGCATTCCAATTTTAGGAGACTCTCTTTAGAATATTTTGAGTATGAATTTCCTGCAGGTAATTTTTCCAATCTATTAGTGTTTCTTGATGATATGACATTCATTAATACACATTTGTTTGATGATAGGATCCCAAAATTTTGAAAATAAAACACAGCTTCTGTTTATAAAAGGTTGGACAGAAGTTTTAATCATTTTTTACAAAATGCAAGGAAAACATACAGCAGTGAACAATAAATTTATAACTTTACAGTAATTCTGTATCATCAAAGAAATTGACTTTTAATTTCAATTGTAAATTAATTTTTGATACTATTGCTTATTGGATTGCTTCTATCAGAGCAAGTAGTTTCATTTAACAAACATACCATCTATTACATATAACAAAACATGACTTACTGAGAATCTATCTCAGTTCATCAAACAAAAGCACAGAAATTATAAGTGTGTTGCTATGTCACACTTACCCATATTTGGCATTAAATCACACTGCTTGACGACAGTATAATGTCAACAGGATAGTACGTAATTACCATATCATTTAACAGAGAACTGTCTAGGCTTATACAATTAAAAAAAAAAAAAATCTGTGAGGTCTTATTATGTAAAGAATGAAAAATGCATGGATTTACGGAAATGGAGATACATTTTAAAATATAATTTACAATATTGTAAATAAGGGACATAATAACAATAATAATTTTATCAAAAATTCAGGTTTATTCTATATCCCATATTCAGATAATCACAGTAATATTTTATACTATGTATATAGAATGTTCAAAGGTGGAAAACAAAAAGTGTTCTTTTTTAAATTTAAAATTGCAATATTATATTAAATTTAGGAATATATTATATTGAATTGAGCCTATGGGAGAAAACTTTATACATGTATGTATAAGCCCTTGTGAGAAGACTTAAGAAGCTTTATTTTAAAAATTGGCCGCTTTATTATTTTAAACCTGATATGCAAAGGAACATTTTCTGTTGTAGCTTTCTGTAGATTTTATAGTAGTATTTTTAGATTAAGACTATTATTTTTATTTACTTTTACTAAAATATTTTGTATTTTCAGAAAAGTGCATCCTACCTTGTACTAGCCTTTGGATGGTCATTTGTTCTCTACATTTTGCAAGTTCTGTGGCGAGATCTTAATAACATTGTTTCAAATTACAAAGACATTATTATGGTGTACTGTTTTGTTGTTGCATTTTTAAGTTTCCTTGTTTGCTACAGGTTTGGTCCAGTGGAAAATATCAGGACCTTTAAAATAATACAGTATTCTATGCAAGTATGTTTGTTATTTGCTTAAGTGCTGTATATAAATCCTTAGTTTATTAATAATGTATTATTTTTCTTTTAAAAAATAATAGCAATCTTTTAAGAACTTATCCACACTGCTGACTGTTAAAATTGCATCACAATGAAGGATGAAGGCAGCATGCAACAAATGGCAAATTTGCATGAAAGGTACTACATACTAGGTTATGCACATGATCAGTATTTTATACATATGCATAAAGCAGGCCATTTGCTTTGTCAATAAATGGGAAGTTTGCTCAGCAGGTTTCTCATTTGGAAATCACATTTGAACATTGGTTGTTTGTGTAAAGGTCATGTTATGCCTCATGGAAGAAAGAGAAATTTCTACCAGCATGGTGGTAGAATTTTATTTGTACCTTTCATTACTGTGATTTATCATTCAGCAATATTGCTGCTCCTGTTAGTCAGGATCCCATGACTGTCATATAAATATAGAATCAATGGGTCCATATAAATACCAAACAGTATCTCAGTAGTCCTGGGCCATTAATGCCCGAGAGAACAGATATGTTGTCTTCTCAACCTTGAGTGATCCTACATCCACATCACATACCTTGAGTCAGGAACTTGCTTATCTGTCAGATGTGTTCCACATAGACTGTGTTACAATGCTTGTAACACAGTGTAGCAACCATTGTTGTGGCATTTCTTTACATTGCAGCAGACATACACGTACCTACAGTGATGGGACAAAGGACAACACTAGACACAGAAGTGGCAACATGTTGTCTTTGCAGACAAGTCATGGTTTTATGTACAGCATCATAATGGAATATGGTGTGAATTCACCAAGGAGAACAAATATTACCAGCTTGCAGTCATTATCATATGGGCCCAGCAATTAGCATGCTAATATGGGGGTGTCATCAACTTTTATTCTTATAACCAGTAATGTGGACATCTTGTTCTCATAGTCGGTATTGTGGATGCCTCTTATTCTCGTAGCCAATAATGTGGACAGCTGCCTTTATGATTCTGGCATATTAATGCTTGTGCCCTATCTTCTAGGCCTGAGTGATATCATCTTTCAATAATATAATGCATGTTGCCATGTAACTGCATGTTGGCCATACTGTCCTGACCTCCCTCAAAACAGTGTTCAACTGTTTGCCTGACCAGCATGTTCTCCAAATCTTTCAACAATTGAGAACATCTGTTCATGGGTTGCCGAGAGACTGTCATGCCACAACTTAGCAGCCACCATGATTGATGAACTCTAGCATAGAGTTAAAACTGCAAAGAATTAAGTACTCATATCTGTCACCGAAGCTCAGTTTGACTAGATTCTCAGCCGAATCACATCTGTTGCTGCCAGAGGGGGCATCTCTATAGATTCTGCATGCTGTGTATCTCCAAACCATCTGCAAATTTAATCATGTTCCCTCCCCCCCATTATACTGTATACATGCAATAAATAAGATTCTGCTGTTTGCATTCCTTTCTGATGAAGCAATGTATTTAACTCAGACTTACAGTGATATCAGTAATATTTGTAGAATGAGTCAAACTATTCTAACCTCTTTAGTTATGTGCATCTTGTTGATATCATTCTAACTGGAATTTAGAGATAAATTTGCATATAAATTATTTTGTTAATAAGAATCAGAAAGTACTCTATATTGAAATTGCAAGAATTTGCAACTTTTGAAGATTATCCATCTGCTTTTTCAGCCATAATTCAAGTGACTGATCTTTGCTTTACTTTTTGCAATTTTATGTAAGGTTGATGTATGTTTTAGTATGGATGTTCAGATATATGAGAGACTCAAAAGCAATACTATATCTGCATGATTTTGTGCAGGTTTGAAGGTTTTCTGTAATTTTAAGGCCATTTTTATGTGAAGATTTGTTTATACTTAGCTGCTTTGACTTTTTGTTGAAAAGTGTGGGTGTGCTTTAATATATTTTTGTAACAATGTACTACTTTATTGGTTGTATGTTTATTATTATTTTGCTCATATACATATATATATATATATATATTGAATTTAAAAACCCTATTTATATATATATATATATATATATTGGGTTTTCAAATTCGTGATGCTAATTTCAGGTTATATTACATATCATTCTCTATTATGTCATTGCAGATGATGAGATGCATTTATCTGAATTATTTTTTCTGTCTCTTGTAATTAATGTCCAGACAGACAGATATGGCATTATTGGCAATTTTTTAATTAATTTTTTATTTATTTTTTTAATGCTGAAAGGATATTAAGAGTATTAAAATAATAGGACTATTTGTAATAAATTTAGTTGGTGAATCGACAACAGCTTTACTTTACTAATTCAGAAGTCAAACAACAAAAATCAGCGTTATATTTTCAAATTTTCAGGACTGTTTCGATGGTTTTACCGAACCACATCCTCAACTGCAATGAACACGTAGTCCCACGCATGGTTCCGCTACGTAGTCCTCACGGCATGTTCCATGTAACGATACTTTACCTGTTTGAAGGTATAGATGATCAGAACATAGCCAATAGTTAATATTTCTAATGTTAGTCTTTCAGAAGAACAAGAGAGAATTCTAAAATATAATTTTAACTTCTCACAAACCTGTAAACCCTCGATTCCAAAGATTTTGGCTCCTATCGAAAAAAGCTTTCAAGTTCAGTAAAGTTTCAGATTCACAGAAAGAAATGATTAGGCATCTTATCGCTCATAATGTGAAATTCAATAATAAACCTTTGAAACCAAATCTAACTGTGCGAGAGAAAGAGCTACAATGCGCGAAATTCATTCTAACCCGGATATTATCATTTCAAAGGCCAAACAAAGGTGGCCAGATAGTCGTCATGGATAAGAACACTTACATCGATGGTGTCACTAAACTCTTAAACGAAGGACCATATAATCCGATCCCTAAAGATCCTTCACCTTCGGACTTATCAAAAATAAAAACTGCGATCAAATCTTCACAAATCATTTCAAGCAACTTAAAACATTCGCTTATCCCATCTGTTGCGAATTGTGCCAGATTATATGCTCTTCCCAAAATTCATAAAAGTGGTATTCCTTTCCGCCCTATTGTATCAAATTTAGGTACTGCCTCGTATCCATTAGCTAAATATTTAGTTTCTAGATTTTCAACTCTATTAGACAATAACATTTACACCATAAAAAATTCAATAGAGTTTGTAAAAAAGGTTAAAAACATTTCTCCTATGAAAATTTATGTCTAGAAACCAGATTTGGTTTCATTTTGAGATGTTTAAAACATCCATTACTATTCAAACCACATTTGATATTACATGCCAAAAGTTGGCATGGGTGCATTAAAGATGTCTTTAAAAAATTACCATTCTTTTCGACATTCTGGTCACACACACACACATCCAACTTCAGTACTACGGTTTACCGTAAACCTTCATCGGTTTGCCTTCCACCACACTTTAAATCATGTCATCCGACTAAACAAAAGTTAGCTTCATTTTATTCCTATGTTTTCCGTGCTCTTCAAGTTTGCTCCTCCAAACTAACCCTTGATGAAGAACTAAATTATTTAAAAGCAATAGCTATTGACAGGGGCTTTTCACCCAACATTATTAATCAAGCAGTTAAAAAATTCTCATCTCAACACACTAAAAGGCACACTCTTGTTTTAGGAGATTATAAAAATTCTGTTGTCATTCCCTTCTTTCCATCAATTAGCTATAAAGTTGCACATATTTTGCAGAAATTTAACTTTCGGGTTGTTTATTCTCCCATCAATAAAATTCCAAGTTCCATACTCAAGGACCCCATTCCGGATATGAATTCCTGGGGTATTTATAGGATTCCTTGCCAGTGTGGTTTAATTTACATTGGCCAAACTAAGAGAGCCTTAAAATTTCGCGTCAAGGAACATGAGGCATATGTTAGAAAAAAGGAAACACAGAAGTCTTCTGTTGCTCAACATTGTTGGTCCGAAAATCACACTTTCAATTTTTCTGCTGCCAAAATTATTCAAAAAACATCTTCCATTGGAGAAACTGGATTTTCTAGAGGCATTTCACATTCAAAAAAATCTTCTTTCTGTTCTAGTTAACGATCCTAATTCCAATCCCAATCTTTGCCTTTGGCCTTTAAAGAAATTATGTTTTAGTTCTGGTTTCGCCAACAGATGGCGCCACTTGCTTATTCTTGTCCAGGCTTCTTATCTTATCTAATCATACATATTTAGGCATATAAGATGCACTGACATATAAACGCACCCTATTTAGAGGCCACACACTGTAGATGTAGAAAAGTTAGGTGTGTTAGACTTTTCCGGGCTGAAATAGCATTCAGTATTGAAAGTTAATCGGTCTTCACGTAAACGCAGGTAACTTTTTTGAGACCAAATTAGGAAAAAAAAGTGGTTATATTTCGTCAAATATGGTATTTCCTATCTTGTTCATTTGCAGTTGAGGACGGTGGTTTGGTAAAACCATCAAAGCTAGTCTTGTGAAAATTTAAGGCTGATTTTTGTTGTTTGACTTCTGAATTAGTATTTATTCGGCATGTTATTGTGTCTTAGCTTTACTTTAATCGAATTACTTCCAGTGGCCTGTCTCTTGATCTTTTTGTTCAGTTTTGCCACAAAATTTCTACAACTTTTTTTTTTCAAAATGTATATGTAATATTGAAACTCTTACATCAATTATCATGTTTTATTATAAGTAATATTGTAAAATTTGTTGGCAAGTTTTAAATGTTGCTTTTTTAAAAATTGTAAAGCATGTTTTGCATTAAGATATGCAAAGTAAGATTCTGTATCTAAAACTTTTGACGATATTTTGTAGATGAATATTTCAAGTTATCAGATGTCTTGAATGGTTTTATGTTTCTTTCAGGTTATAGCTGTGCTTGTGATATTTTTTAGTTCTGAATACCGTGAAGTATCTACAGCTATAGTATTAATTCTTGTGACTGGAAAGTGGATTCCCATTAAATGGCTTATTAAGTTTCAATATTTGTGGTCAGTAATTTATAAAAGATTTTTTTATTTCTGCTGTATAATATTTAATTCTAAAAAAATATTTTTTAATACTCATAGTATGGCTGTTTAAATCTTTTAATATTATTTATTTATTCTAAGGTAATAAATCTTTATATATTTATTGCTTTGTTTTTCACCTTTAATTAAGTAATTTAAAATTCTGTCATAGTTTTTAAAATATTTATTAAAAGAGCAGTAAATTTTGCAAAGCAATGCAATAACAGAAAATAGATCAACATTTCAAGCAAAGTACTTCATTACTAATTAGTAGGTGACGGGAAGCAGCTTTATTCTCATGAGTTATATTGGCATTGTAAAATCTATTAAATGTACCAGAACATATATCATACCTCTGTTTCTTTCTCTAACTCTGCTTTCCAAAAGTTAAGGATGTGATAAAAATTTTGAATTTCAAGAATGTGTGCTTCAGAATCACTGGATAAAATAACTATGGTTATAGAATGGAATATGCAAAGATATTTCATTCTAGCCTGGAATTTACTCTCTAAAAATATGCAAATTATGCAGTATTATAGACAATTTCTTTGTAAAGCATTTTAGGGGTGTTTTAACTACTGACAGAAAACTGTGGAAAAACAATTCTGGTTAAATTTATTAAAAGCATAGCTGTTTTCTTTGGCATTGCCCATGCTGTAATTTCAAGCTTTGGGAACAATTTCATATGAATGGATCAATTATCTAGAGATAAGTTCCCAATAAGTCAAGGATTATGGTACTTTCTGATGTTGCGTATATGATATGATTTAATTAGCTAAGCACAATCAACGAGTGACTACTTCAGCTAACTGTAATAGTTATTACAATAATTAGAATGTCAGTGTCTGCCACTACTGGTGAGACAAAGATTAAATTTAAAAGGGCTGTGTAAACTGATAGCCATGAGTTTGTGTCCATTTAAAATCAGATGAGTGTAGTTGAAATGGAGCTGGTAACATTAAAATTGAAAAGTAGGTAAATATTCCAACAAAATAAATAGCTTGTGTATTATGCAAAATTTTTATTGAAATCCAATTATAAATGGCCATTCTATGTTATAGTGACTTACTTCTAAGAAATAGGAATTGGCATTTAAATAGATGGTTACTGATCTGCTCATGTGCACCACTGAGGATTAGTGAAATAACACAACAGGTAATAACACAAATAAAATGGTCTAAAAACTTTGCAGTTAAAAAGTCGTAATCAAAAATATTATTGTAAAAAATAAATCATAGCATGCAAATAACATCACAGATATGCGTTTATGAGGCTTTGAAAGTAGTAAATGCATATTCAGATCCGAATTGTATATCCATATTTGTGAGCACAAGAAGGAATGAGGAATATTTTAAATTTTACATTTCATAACTTTGAATTAACTCGTAAATGTTTGTTGAAAAAGTAAGAAGGAAATATAAGCATTTAAAAACTGAAAATGAGTAGAAAATTAATGCAACTTATAGCACTTAATAGAATTTTAAACATAGCATAGTTAACTAATGAAGCTCATTAATAGATTAATCTTTTTTTTATAAAGTTCACTGATAATTTTTCATGACAAATATAGTCTTAAAAAGTTTAGAAAAAGGAAGATTAATAACTGCATGAGGTTACCTGTATAAAAATTGCTTAATTAATTATCAAATTATTTTCTTTCACATTGTTAATCTGATATTCTTATAGTGAAAATTATATCTTGTTTTCTTTCTGTCTATTCTTAAACTGTTGTATTTTCACATACAGTGTACAATCAGTTATTTGGATTTTAAATTGTTAGTTATGGAAAAAGTCAGTTACATAATATTTCAGTAGAGGATTTGGATTTATTGGATTGGGCTGTCTGCTTAAGGGGAGGGATGCCTTCATGGAGTACTTTCTCAGGAACTGGCTCATATCCACATTATACATTACGAAAATCTCATACAGCCTGCTCAGACACTGGTGGCCAGTTCAGCAGGGGAATATTAAAAAAAGCTACTTTGTTTTTACATCAATCATTAGAAGCTTCAAATTTAAAATATCCAGGAAATTTAAACATAGTTTATTTATTTTTTAATTTTAATTTAAATTTTTTTATTTTTTTTTAAATATAATATAGGATTGCAGTGAACCCCTCTCAGAAACACTATATATCTCTAAGATGATGGGTGTTCTGAGAACAGAAATAAAAATAGTTTTTAATCATTATGCAAGATGGCCATATCCACACAAGATAAAAAAGATATGGAATCTTTATTGGTTGCTTTGAAAAGGATTTTTATATTTAATTTTACATTTCGACATTTCTTATAAGCACTTTAAAAAAAGTATTATTTAATTTTGAAGATATATTTTATTCAAAAATTATTTAGTTATTGACTGAACTTTTATAATCTACAGTGTTCCTAAGACGAAGACCTCTTTACGTGACTAGTATAGTTATGAAGCTTTTTTATTAAATCTCATCTCTCTAAGATGTTGTTGTTGTGATTTAACTCTATTATCTGACGGCAACGTGAAAATAAGCTTGCGAAATTAATTGTGACAAGGTGTGCAAGATTGCACCTGTTGTTGGCAAGTCTTGAGCACCATACAGGTGACAATACAATTTTGCTCAGTTTCGCCCCAGTTCTGAAGGAGAGCACCTCAGGGGGACGAGTCCGAGGGCCTCACACCCCTCTTTCCCTATCACCACCCTCTTAAAAAGATTGATGGCTCACCGCATATTTAGAGTGCCTCCATGCCTTCTCTGGGATTAGAACCTGGTTCCTTCGGTACGGTAGTCAGAGGCACTAACAACTATCGCATTTGGGCGGCTTTTTCTAAGATGGCCAGCTACACAAAAACGTAAATCATTTTGAACCATAAATGGCCGTCTTAGAGAGGGTTCACTGAACTTAGTCTTCCCATTTACATATATTTATTTCCTTTATTAAACATTTAATTTTTTTTATTCTGTTATGCAAAAAAAGTTTAATTAGCCCAAAGGGCGTTAAGCCAGAGGGGCGTTAGTCCAGAAGGGCTATTAATTTCATTTTTGCATTTTGCATCAAAAACTTTAAATGTCCGTTTCACTTTATAATTGTTGCTACCAGATATTATCGACCTGTGTTATATTTAAAGAAATTTAATAATGAACAATCTGCATAGATGTATGTATATCTGTTTTTCGCATTGTGATGAAACAATGGTACCTAGAGCCATCAAATTTTGAATAACGTAATTCTCCATTGAATGTGGGCATCTGGAAGCCCTAATTTGGAATTGTTTTATTATCAGTTCCATATTTTCTCAAACATTAAAGAATTTTTTTATTAACAAACTCAACGATTCCAAAGCAAGAACTTGGCTTAAGTGCAAAGAACATGACATTTAAAAAGTAAAGGTAACACACAAAGCATTAAAAAATGTCCCTTTGGGCATAATATAAAATCTGAAAGCTTTCAAATTTTTATTTTATTTTTATTTCTTATTCTTTCTTAAATGTATGATTTTTGTACAACATTCTTGGAAGTGATCATATCGTTTAGGGTGAAAGATCATTTTACATGTTGATATGTAGGTATTTTACATGTCTGCTATAAACTACTTATTATCACTTGATTATCACTTAGGAAATGCAGCTTAGATGAGAATCTTGTGAAGGAAACTCACTCATATTAGTAATAAGAACAAAAGTACTGGTTGATGTCTTTTATTTTTTAAAGTTGTGCTTTTTTTTTTTTTTTTTTTTTTTTTTTTTGGTATTTCTCAATTTCAGAATATTTTATATTAAGCTTGCCAGAAATCTGTAACAAAACTGCATTAATCTTTCTGAGTGAAATTTTATTTTGTGGTGACTCTTTGTCCTTGGAATTTTTTACTAGTAAATTGAAGAGATTATTAGTCTCTGCAAATTTTTAATTAAAAATATAAAGTAATAAAATAAAAACTTTATTAGATTGCCCTTAAAGCAGACAGTTTTCAAAAACAGCACATGTTTTACATTGACTTTCAATTAATGAAATGTTTCAAGTACAATTGTTTTGTATTTAAATGACCAATTGTTTGAAAAAAGAAAATGCCATTGTCTTTATTTATCATTTTAAATTATTTTATGAGCATATGATTTTGAATGTCAATCATAACTAAAAACTAATATCCAAGTTTACTTCCTGCATGATTATTTTTTAATTAGATCAGAAAGAATCCTTTTCCATTAAAATGAAACAATTTAGTGATTTTATGCACTTAAGTAAAAGAATCTAAGATATTTTGAATGAAGATATGCTTATTTCCATAGTTTACATTTTAAATACAACCAAAAATATCATCCTGTTTTTAATGAACTTTCAATTTTTTTATGCGCGTGTGTGTGTCTGTAATTAACTGTAGTTTTATTTTCTCAGTTCATAATAATAAACAAAGATATACTCTGAATTAGGTGAATCATCACACGATATACTATTAAGTAAATGTAGAATTCTGTTTATAAAACCAGTGAACAATAAGTACACTATTTGCTTACATGATTCCTTTATCTCACCAAACCAGTTGCATAATGAAACGTTTACTTCATATTACATTTCACAGAAAAAAAAAAAAAAAAAGGCTTCTGTTTCTCTTTGTCCCCCCAAAAAAAGCTACAATATTTCTTTATTGGATCTACATGTAATGAAAAGAACAAAATGTTGCTTATAAATATATAACTTTATGAAGTAAATCATTTTTCTCATTTCAGTATGCATTCTTTTTAATATTAATGCAAGGCTTAATTAGCATGTTGGTTGTGATTAAAATTATATAGTTGTATATATTCGGATCACATACTTTTTTGGAGTACTGGAGGACTCAAACTCCCTCTTTCTTTTTTTCTCTTTTTATTAGTGCAACATGGTTAATTTTTATACAAAGGGCTGTGGCGATGATGCACGTGTGGAAGGAAATGTATATAGTCCTTAAACGTTTTGTATATTGTCCTTATTCATTTTAGTAATCCTTATTATATTGTATATTGTCCT